CGTTTAAGTGCTATATAGGGAAATGACTTAAGTTTTAGTGCTATTTAGTGCAAAAAAAAACAATTTTATAATCAAGATTACCATGAGAGAGAAAAACACTTTCTTTTTCATTGGAAATTTTCTTATCTAGCATTATACTAATAATTCTCTAATTGAGACATTCATTATGGCTACTTTCTTTTGCATTGGAAAAAGGGGAGTATTTTGTTTATCAAATCAAGCTTGAACCTACCTTAATGGAAGTTCACTGTTATTCATGAAGTGATCAAATTTTTATAATTATTTAATCTTCATTATTATTGTTATCACCATTGCACGTTGGATTTGATATTCTCTTGTGAATATTCTCTCCAACGCGGCTTAGATACAATTGAATAATTAATTTCTTACTTTCTTTTAAGAGCTAACAGTTTAATACTAAATTTAATTATACAAAGTGTCACTGAACTACTAAATTTCTTGAATAAACTCGGTTATTCTAACGACTCTGTAATATTTTCATCTTCACCTGAGCTTTTCTCATAAAAAAAGAAAAGGAAAAAAAAGATCCTTTTGAGGCTTTAGCACTAAATCTTGATGTATCCAATAATAGTTGTTGTATTGAGATTAAAAACAATTGATGCAATCTTCAATAAATTTCAGGATGCAAGCCTTGCAATTTTGTTGTTCTCTCCCTTGTCACTTGGTCATCCATGGCATTGCTAAGCAATGTTATAAGAACCATCTCCTATTTTTAAAAACCGCTTAAAAGTTTTACCAAACAAGTGGTGACAAAATATATTATTTTATCATACAGACCAAGAAAAAATGTAAATAAATAAAAGTTTTTGTGAAGTTAGAATAAAACTATGTGAAGAAAGATATTGGGCAAAGCGAGTACGTAGTTGATAGGATAATATATTAGTTATATTATTTATTAATATTTTATAGTTAATCTAGTTTAGGGTTTAGTACGGGCCTAAGCCCATTAGGTCAATTGGTGTTGCTGCATTACTCTATATATTGTAATCGTTTCTCATAATTACAAAAGCAATAAGAATATCAAAATTCTAATCTCTCGTCTCTCTTTTCTTGGAGCCCGAAAACGCTCGAAGTTTTCCTTTTCTCTTTGCCTCCCCTTTCTTGGAGCTTGAAAAACGCTCGAAGTTCTTCCTTATCCGATACAATATTTTCAACTCTGTTTATTCAAAATATTACAAAATAAACAAAGTTGAAAAATGAATTTCTATATTTTCAATCATCCTTGTTGTATGAGGACATTAAGCACTGGACAGCAAGGATATTAGGCACTGGACAGCGAGGACTTTAAGCACTGGACAACAATTCAAGGACGTTATGCACAGGGCTGCGAGGACATTATGCACTGGGCTGCGAGGACATTATGCACTAGGACAGAATGCAGCGAGGTCTTTATGAACTAATCCTGCAAACAAAAGACCACGGAAGGACAGCGGAGTCGCCGGAGCTGTCGGTAGTAGTGCCCGTCTACCATACCGAGAAAACGTGGGCGCTCTCCTCCCAGGATAAAACCGCTATCGTGTGTGGAGATTGTACGGATCAACATCACACCAACGAACAAGAACAACGTAGGAACGTTGGTGACCAAAAACGTTAAAGGGGATGGCCGGAAATTTGGCCTTTAAATCAAGAGCTTTCTCTAAAAATTAAACAAGAAAGTTTTTCCCTTTCTTTTCCTTTCTTTCTCACGCATCAAGCACTCAAGAGAATGGAGAGAGCCTTTGATTTTATAGCCAAGCCATTTAAAAAAATGTAACTACTACACCATTAATCCATGGCATTTGTGGCACACTTAATACCGTGTTAATTTAATGATGATTAATAAGCCATTAACACGTCCGTTACGCTACGCTCCGTTTAAAATTTGTCCCGAATAATTGGAGATTAATGGCCAGTTAACTCCGTAAAAATGGACTAATTTTAAACAATACGTAAAATTAATAATAGAAGATTGGTTCAGTAAAATTGCAAAATTGCAACCCTTACCATATTCTTTTATTAACTGGTTAACTCTGAGAATCAATTTCTCATTCACCCTCTACCATTTTTGGAGTATAAATTTATCAAAACATTTATCTCATTTAAGAGAACACACGTCCATTAAATAACGGTTAAAACCGTTAGTTGACCTATTGACAAATATACCCATGTTGGTCCATTTAATGCCTTAAAATGTCAAAAATTCCAACATTATATATTGATATTATTAGTATTGTAACTCCTATTATAGGATACGAAACATTGAACTCTTGTTTTTTAGTTTTTCGATGTTTTATTCCTATTTTTGTAGTTTTTGAATTCTCATTTGATTTTTCACAGCTTCCAGTGTAACATTTTTACAGTCAATATTTATGTTTATGCACGCATAAAGTATATTTAATTTTTAAAAAACACAATATTTGAAAACTACGTTTCACAAAGAACTATTGATCACACATTTATATAGAAATACTACGTATAATTTATTCTTTTATATATTGTATAATTTTGGAACTGAACGACTTGTTTTCATTAGTCACCAACCAAGTATGTATACAAAACATTACACGACCCAAATATGTGGCCCATAAATTAAACTAAATACAATAATACATATTAACAAAACAATAAATATATTCTGATACTCCCCCTCAAGTTGCAGCATGAAGATCATAAATGCTCAACTTAGACAATAACAATTGAAACAAGGGTCCTACTAGTGTTTTGGTAGACATATCTGCAATATGAAAGCATGTAGGAACATATGCAGTGACGATGTGCTAACGCTGAAGGCACTCACGAACAATATGACTGTCGAAATCAATGTGCTTAGACCATTCATGAAACAAGAATTAGCCACAATAAACATCGTTGATTTATTATCAAAAAAATAACTTCGAAACAACAACACAAGGGACAACCAATGCGGCCAACCGTCCACGGTTCCAACGTACATCAATACAGGGCGGCATCAGCCATAGCACGGTATTCAGCCTCAACGAAGGAACGGGAGACCACTGTTTGCTTTATCGTGTCCCAGGAAATAGGGGACTGTCTCAACGGAAGAAAATAACCGGTAACTGGTCGTCGGGTGAGGGTACAACTCGCCCAACCACAACCATAATTTTGAACATTTGGTTGAGTAAGTTCCTTGACATTATATTGGAGTTTTATTGACTAAGGATTACAAATTTGAAAATGGCCATCATGTTAGAGCATATATAAAAAACAGGTCTCAAGTAGGGATGACAGTTCTACCCAAATCCGACTTTTACCGACCTGACTTGAGCTTATAATATCTCAATTCGAATAAAAAATTAAATATCCGAAATCGGCTTGAAAAAATTTAAATCAGACCCAACATTTGTCAGGTCGAGTTTGGGTTAGTATATTTGACCGACCTCACCCGTACCCAACCTGACCTGTACCCGACTTTCAATAAAAAAGAAAGATTTCAATAAATTTTTTAAAACCCTAAATTCCTATGATCTATGTATTTTTGAAACACGTGTTTTGAATATATTAAAACTTTTTGGGAACAACAACAACAACAACAACAACCCAGGTGAATCCCACAATAGTAGGGTATGGGGAGGGTGTGTGTACGCAGACCTTGCCCCCCTACTCGGAAGTAGGGAGGCTGTTTCCAAGAGACCCCAGGCTCCACCTGCACAAAAATATGGAAGGGAACACAATATACACAGATAAAGCACCAAGTACAAGCAACAAGTACAAGCAATTGTAAAAAATTCCAAACAAATACAACACACTACAAAACAACCTCTACAACACCGAGCTCCTATCCAGCTACTCTAATCCTAGTTTTCCAAAGGTTCCTATCTAGAGCCATATCCTCAGTCAGGTCGAGAAGTTCTAAATCCTACCTAATCACCTCCTTCCAATTCTTCCTAGGTCTACCCCTTCCCCTACTTCCCCCGATAACCGTAATCCTCTCGCATCTCCGTACAGGGGCGCCAGCATCCCGCCGTCTCACATGGCCAAACCATCTCAACCTCGCTTCCCGCAACTTATCTTCCACCGGTGCCATGCCTACCTGACGTCGGATAACTTCGTTCGGAATCCTATCCAACCTTGTCTTCCCACACATCCATCGTAACATCTGCATCTCCGCCGCATGCAAACGACGCACATGAGTCTTCTTAACCGCCCAACACTCTGCCCCATATAACATAGCAGGTCTGACTACGGATCGATAGAACTTACCTTTCATTCTAGGTGAAATCTTTCGGATCACACAACCCCCTGAAGCTAACCGCAATTTGGCCCAAGCCACTCGAACACGATGTCCAACATCCGCAACTAACTCCCCATCAGCCTGGATTACCGAGCCAAGATATCGAAACCTGTCTACCTTAGGTACTAGGTGAGAGTCAATCATGACTTCCACCTCTGATTCTGTATCCCGGCCGCTGAAACAACATTCCACGTGTTTTGAATATATTAAAACTTTTTGGGAACAAGCCAACAGATAGTGTACCACAAGCAGTGCCATGACGTCAATTGAATGTCAACCCTTTGGTTACAACAAGAGCAGGCACACGACAGAACTCACATGCGCTATTTTTTAACAGATGCACCGCCCTAGCCAAGCTCCCCATCTGACAATGTCTTCTGCACGGATCAGCTCACAAGCGATCCTTGGTTCTGAAACCCGACCCGACAAGTTTAAGTTTGGTTTTTTGATTGATTATTTGCGGCTGAGTATATAAAAGAAGTGAAAAAAATTATTTTGAAACAGAAAATTATTACAATGACGATTTGCTATCCACCACGGGGGGTAAATCGGTAATTAAAAAAGTCGTGTGAGTAAACTCGACCAAAACGGCAAAAGAATGACGACACATTCTGCAAATGCCCACCAGCCATGACCAAGCACAACATTTTTAAATAATTCAAGCAACATTTAGCAATTTGACACATTTGTGTCCAAGCACAATAATATGATGCATAAATTTAAACATTTCTGAAACATAAAACATCATTCAAATCACAATTTGGACTCTTTGCACACAAAAGCAAAAAAGGAGCATTATAAAAGAAAGGGAGTTGAGAAACACCAGCTTCATTTTGTATGTCCAAAAACACAAAGCACATCCCGCCCATCATCCGCGCATTTCTACTTTTATAGACAGAAGAAGAAGCCACACAAAAGGCGGAATGGAAGCTCAAAAAGAGGAACACCGCTTATTTGAAAGAAAAACAAGCACACAAAAGCTCCTCCCTCCAATGGATAATAAGAACCATTCATCAAGATTCACATTGTCGCACATTTTGAAGAGAGGGTGTTACCAAGAGGAGTAAAAAAAACTCTAAGGTTCCAGCTCTGCTCTGTCTTGTTTTCCCAATAATTGCTTTGACCTACTCCGAATAAAATATTTAAAAAAAACAAAACAAACGAAGGAAAATAAACGAAAACCAATCACTTCACAATGAATAAGAACATTCATCAACAATCACATCATTGCAGATTTGAAGAGAGTTTAAACAAACCGTGCTCCCCTTTCTGATGTCCCTGCTCCGTCTCTTCTTTCTAGGACTTGCTTTGGCCTGTTCCCACAACATTGAAAAAAAACCCAAAAAAAAAACAAATCAACTTTATAATACCACTTTATCCACCCGTCATTCTATTACTGGCTAGATGCTAAGATTGCAGGAAAATTCCTACTGGGCTCAGCAGTGAGACAAACAGATTGGGCAAAAAAGAGATTATCAGCTAAATAAGGAGCATATTTGCAAACTGGACACATGTGAGCCATGCCAATCAATTGCAAACACAAACACACAAGTTGTAAAGAGAATAGCTAAGCAGATGAGACTTACGTGGAAACATAATGGCCCTCATGGTAGTGCCCTCCCTTTGTGGAGTGGTCAGGCACATCCCTACACACACAAAAAAAAAAAAAGAGACAAGTAAAAAAAATGAACCAAATAAAGGAACCACAACAACAAAAACAGAAAGAGAGAGTTATAAATAGAAGATGAGTGGAACACACTCACACAACAAGAACAGGCCTTGTTGGCATCCTTGGAGCAATACATCTGCTGTACCAAAGCAGAGAACAACATTTCAGACCAGCAAGCGCCCTTTTATAGTCAAAAGTAAACCTGCAACACCAATAACCATCCCTGCCTTTTCCCATGTCACAACCATCAACCCATAAAAGACCAAATTCATTGCCGCCAACATGAAACAATGTGATCTCACAAGCTCCCACGTCCTCCGGAAATGGAGCGCTAGGAGGAATCAATCCTTCCATCAACAAATCCACCTCATGGTTTTGACCTAGACGTATGTTGTGCCAAACTAATTTGTGTGCGTTGGCTTTGATGTCCGTGTAGAGATAGACAAAATGGCTGTCGAACGCAAAAGTGTGAGGGACTAGGCCAGGGATATAAGAAGAGTCCACAACAGCCCACAGATTTGATTTTGGTGTGTAAGTGTAGAACACATCATGTTTGGGCAACAAAATGAACAAGAAATAGGAATCTTCAGGCTTCTCATCTACTACAACTGGAACAGGTTTTAAATGGTCGTAATCCCGCTTGAGAGGACATGGAGGATCAGGAAGCGTGACCCATTCATCTGCAGTTTCAGGAAGCACCTCCATGAATGCCGCCGATTGTGCGTAATTCGCACCACCTATGGCGTAAAGTGCACCACCAAGGACATGAAGTTTGGGTGCCCATCGACCATATGTCATCAAGGGCAGTCTAGTCCACTCACTCCCTCTAGTGGTATCCATACAAAACACAGATCTCATGCCTTTATTTTCTCTGATGGCGCGATCAGGACAATCGTGAAGACACGTCTTGCAATTAGGGTTGGATCCCCCGGCATAATACACGCGAGACTTGTGAGCCATAAAGGCCGCGAAACGATGATAATGATCAAGAAGGCTAATAGGCTTTGCAACATATGGGCGCGGGCCGATGTTAGTCCCAGAAACCAAAACCAAATTATCATCATCATCATCACCATCAACTGACGTCTTAGACGGGAATAAGCCTTCATCGAAGGCATAAATTTCAACTTTCTTATAATAGGGGCTATTATCTTGTACAGACATCGGACGTAAAACTATTTTTTGCAACTTCCCAGCCATCATTTCCTGTCTGATATATATGAATTGAGCAAAAAGTATCAGACTTTGATAGAAATTAATTAGCATACTAATAAAACAACCCCATGACTGAAATGATTTGTCTCTCCATAGTATGATCTATTTTCCATTCATAGCCTAAGGCTTCGTTTTTCTTTCTTTTATTCTAAGGACAAAGAAACTACAGCGCGAATAAAAGCAAAGCTTGAAGTTTTATAATCACTCCTTAAACAGAACAACATTAAGACAGAGAGAGAGAGTACTCGAGAGAGAGAGAGAGAGACGCGGCGGTGATAGATGGCGGTGAGATTCTGGCACATACACGGGGTACCGGAGAGAGACGCGGCGGCGATTTTGGCTTTCCTAGCGAATGGTCTCGATTTTGGTTTCTGCATCAATCGGACCTGTGTAAGGCTATTTGTTTTGCACCCCAACACTTTGTGTGATTGTAAAACTAATTTTTATTAATGCACCAACACTTTGTGTCTCTGTAAATTTTTATTAACGCACCAACACTTGTGTCGATGTAAATCATCAAAATATTTAGAAATCATCTTAAATAGGACTAAAACATAGAAAAAAGTATCAAAATAGGACTTTTATGTTTTTTTTTCCCGGAATAGGACGTTGCATTATGGTAATGTGGCAGTGTACATGTACAAATTACTATACTTTCTTGGTAACGTACATGACCATGTTTGGTAACGTAAGTCCTATTTCGGGAATAAAAACATGGAAGTCCTATTTTGGTATATCTTCAATGTTTTAGTCCTACTTTGGTCTTTCTCTCCAAAATGTTTGTGTATAACTGCGGTGTACAAATGGGGTACAATTTGTGGTGTAAGTGTAGCATAACCCATCGGATCTGTTCCACTTTGGAAGTTTGGAACAGTTTTAGGTCAATTTAAATACTCCATCCGTATCTAAAAATCTTTCTCCTTTCTTTCTTTCATCCGTCCTAAAAACACTTCTCATTTCATAAGTTTTAGTGCTATTTAGTGCAAATATTTCACAATTTTATTTGGATATATGTTATCGATTTGGTTTGATTTGATTTCGATTCGGTTTAATTTCGGTTTCATATATTTTGGGATTTGGGTTTGATTTCTAGTCGGTTCAGATTCAGTTCGAATTGATTTTGGTTTCAGAGACATTCAGGATCAGATATATTTCGATTTGAATATATTTTGATTTGGAATTATTTCAGTTTCATATATCTTTGCATATATGTTATTTTCAATTTGAATTTAATTATTCGTTCATTTTTTGTCATATCGCATTTATCAATCTCATCAATTCATCACCTCATATTATTTTAAATCTCCTTCATCCTACATATCTTCTATTTTTATCTTTTAAGTCATCTTTTATAAATTTGGATTACAAATTATGCAAGAAAAATATATTTAGTTCTAATATCAAATTAATATAATTGGATTACCAAATCACATACAATTTAGTTAAAATATGTTGAAATTTAGTAAAATGAAAGTAATTAGATAAAATTGGAATGAAACTAAATACAATTCAAAGCACATAGTTGGCCAACCATACAATATTGCATGAAAAGAGGCAAATAAATTATATTTAATCATGTTTTAGTTTGTATGAATTTTAACTAACATTTTTATGTAAGCACTAATGTTTATTTTTATACCAATTTATAAAAAAGAAATTAAAACATACAAAATTTTACATTTTGTTTAGATATGGTAATTCATTTTGGACAAAGCATTTTGCATGGTGACATTGTGGTACTTTATATTGGTATTTTACAATACTTTTTGATATTATATATTGATATTATTAGTATTGTAACTCCTATTTTAGGATAAGAAACATTGAACTCTTGTTTTTTAATTTTTCGATGTTTTATTCCTATTTTAGTAGTTTTTTGAATTCTCATTTAATTTTTCACGGCTTCCAGTGTAATATTTTTACAGTTAATATTTACATTTATGCACGCATATAGTATATTTAATTTTTAAAAAACACAATACTTGAAAACTACGTTTCACAAAGAACTATTGATAACACATTTATATAGAAATATAATTTATTTTTTCATATATTGTAGAAATTTGGAACTAAACGACTTGTTTTTATTAGTCGCCAACCAAGTATGTATACAAAACATTACACGACCCAAATATGTGGCCCATAAACTAAATACAATAATACATATTAACAAAACAATAAATATATTCTGATATTCCCCCTCAAGTTGCAGCATGAAGATCATAAATGCTCAACTTAGACAATAACAATTGAAACAAGGATCCCACTAGTGTCTTGGTAGACATATCTGCAATATAGAAGCGTGTAGGAACATATGCAGTGACGATGTGCTAACGCCGAAGGCACTCACGAACAATATGATTGTCGAAATCAATGTGCATAGACCATTCATGAAAACAAGAATTAGCCACAATCAACAACGTCGATTTATTATCAAAAAATAACTTCGAAACAACAACACAAGGGTTAACCAATGCGGCTAACCGTCCACAGATCCAACGTACCTCAGTACAGGCCGGCATCAACCATAGCACGGTATTCAGTCTCAACAGAGGAACGGGAGACCACTGTTTGCTCTATCGTGTGCTAGGAAATAGGGGTCTATCTCAACAGAATACAATAACCAGTAATTGGTCGCCGGGTAAGGGGACAACTCGCCCAATCCGAATTTGAATAAATAGTCAAGGCAAGATCACTTTCACAGCGTAGCAAATACACTATCCATGATGACCTTTTGAGGTAGCGAATGACTCTTAGAGAAGCATTGAGGTTATCTAGACAAGGAGCCTACATAAACTAAGACAAAACATGCACCAAGTAACAAATGTTAGGACGAGCAATAGTAAGATACATCAAACGACCACGATTGAGGGCTTTGACTTTATATGGTGTTCGTCTAGACCTTTCCCGTCGTCGCCATGTCTCCATCTTGACCTGTTCCTCACAGCATATCACACTGGTGTCAAGAAGTTTTGTCGTCATCAGTCGGCAGTCGCGATCCAAGTGTTCGCTTGTCATCATCTTTTTTCAATATGAATAATAGTAGTTCTTCTGTCAAGAAACTCCAGTACCATGTAAAATTTAAAAATTGTTTGACTTGCTTTCATTAATCACCATTTATATATATATATACAGAATACTACACGGCCCAAATATGTGGCCCATTAACTAAATAAAATAATACACACTACGTATAAACAAATTAATAAATATACTTCAATATATACAGGTTAAAGTTTACAAACTTTGATAAAAATAAATTCAAAAGAGAACATCATTTTCGTATGATTCTCCCGAACCGACGTTAGGTCACAATTTTTATTACAATTTGATTAATACTCTTTCTGTCTTAATTTTGATTACAATTTTATAATTACAAGGCGAAACTTTATATTTTTTGAAATCATTTTATTTAAGAATTAATATAAAAATGAAAAATAAAACGTTCATATTTAAAAACTATATCAAAAGGTTTTACAAAAAAAAGGTGACAAAAATATTTTATTTTATCAAATAATCAATCAAACCATATAAATAAACAAAAATTATCGAGATGAGAGAGAAACAAAATTACTCTCTCCGTCCTAAAAGTATCTTCCCAATCACTATTCAAATAGTTAAACTTTAATCACTTTCTTTACCTATTTTCATTAGGTTTTTGATAAAATAATATATATAGTCTTGTCACCACTTATTTTGTAAAATTTTTTATGTAGCTTTTGAAATATATAAATTTTACTTTTGTATAATTAATTGTGGATGGAGCTAGGAAGTGTCTACTTTGATAAGGGAATAGTATTTTCTTTTAAGTTTTAAAAAAGAGAACGTGGACTGATCGAGCCTGCCTAAGCTTAGGCATATGCACCCAGCAGAATGGATAATATTCTTGGCAGTACAATCAATGGTGCTCTCTCTTACATTACCGTCACTTGCCTAAATTAAAGAAAGGATAAATTTAGGTGTACACCAAGATGAGGCATCTGTATCTCATTTGTACATCAGATAAATACAAACAAATACAGATACTTAGTATGTGTGATCCACAGACACTAAGAGGCTGTTTGTTTCAGTCTCTTAATGATTCAGATGTCTGAATGATTCAACACTTAATGGTTCAGACTGTTTGTTTCAGCCTCTTAATGGTTCAGATGTCTGAATGGTTAAGAGATTTGCCTCTGAATGGTTAAGTATTATACAGAGTCTGAATGGTTAATAGCTGTTATCTGAATTGATCAGACATTTGCCTCTGAATAGTTAAGCAATATACTAGCTCTTAATGGTTCAGACCTCTTACTGGTTCAGCACTTAATGATTCAGACCTCTTACTGGTTTAGCACTTACCCATTCAGAAGTTGCCAAACAGCCCCTAAGTGTTTGTATTTATCCGTGTTTGCCTAGCAAGCTCCTTAAAGAAAGCAAAAAAAAAATGTGACCAAGTTTGACCCCCTAAGAAAGACAATGTGAGATTTTTATGTTGAGTAAATTCCCAAAAAAGTCTTTTCTAATAAGGACTTTTTCTAAATTAGTTTTTAATAAAAAATACGGAGTAATTACCAACACAGTTCTTTATAATTAAGAAATATTCCTTAAATAGTCTTCTGTCAAAAATGTCTATTAAATAACAGTTAAATAAACGGTATTTTTGTATTTTTCATCATCTAAATTATGAATAAGTTTTCAAAATAGTCATTTCAAATTAAGTAGGTGACCGCTAGAGGAACTGACCCACCTCAAGTAGACTCATAGACTCCATTTTGTGAAACATTTACTTATAAATTATCAGTTTGAAAAAATATTTAATTATAAAGTAGCATTTGGAGAACGTACTTTAAACATAGATGATAGAAAATACCAAAATACATTCTATTTGACTGTCATTTAATAAACATTTTGGGTAGAAAACTATTTAAGAAATACATCTCAATTATAAAACACCACATTAGGATTATTTTTTATTGAGAACTAATTTGAAAAAATGCATTATTAGAAAGGATCGTTTTGGAAATTTTATTCTTTTATCTTTTACATAAAGTCCTCTTTAGGGTTCGCGAGAGATCTCACTTCATGTTGTTCAGTTTGTGATTAAAGTTCTACTTAAATCATCTATAGACCTCAGAATAGGGTTTATCTAAGGAAGTAAGTGAAGGTCTCGTGCATAACTTAGATGATAAAAAAGAAATCCTAGATCAAATGGGGTTCATCTTTTTGTTTATAGGAGTAAAAGAAAGTAATTAGGTGCATAACTTAGATGATGAAGACTTAAAATCTTAGATGACAAAGATGAAGTACAAGCCAAGGTAATGACCTAATCTGACACTTGATAACGACGATGAAAGACGATCA